ATCTTTCTTAATTTGTATTTATTTTTGATACATACACGTAAAGCGACAGTAGCCTAATGGCAGGGCGCGGACCGCGAACTCCAAAAGGTCGTGAGTTCGAATCCGCCATTCGACTACTGGCGTGAACCACTCGTAACACAAGCAGTTTACCACGAGTGGGGAAATATAATGTCAAATGGCTTAGCAAGATCCTTCGTTATGCCGAAAATATTGCAGCATTAATTTTGAAATAAATAAAACCTTTCTTATCGTAGAGTTGAGGATTAATGTTAAGGATTATGTTAGATGAAAACACGATTTCGTAAAATTTTCTCGATAGAAAAAAAATCCAAAGTTACCTCCAAAATAAACAATAAACCGCTGTTATTCATAAAATACTTTAAATAAGATCATGAAACTTTGCATACTAACTGAACTAACTATAAAGCAGTGCTTATGTTATTTACTTTTTTTAAAATACCATTATTTTCACTGTAAAAAGAAATTAGCTAAACTATCGGCGCGTAAGCTTGATTCCTGTCGCCCCGTTAGTGTCGCTCCGGCTTTTGAAGGGAGAAGTTGTGTCGCTTACGAGCAGAATACATATTACGCAACATGACGACGTAAAATTAAAATGGGAAATAAACGTAATAAAAATAAGAAGCGACTGGGTTGGCGTTAAGAAATAGGCATAAATATGATAAACCTGATGAAATAAGTCTCTAACGACCTATCTACTTTCAGTATTATTGATTACAAACATGTCGGTACATAGAATACGACGCGCGGGGAAGTGGGGGCGAAATTAGAATTTGAGCTGACTTACTCTATCCTCTTAAGGGGAATATTAGTAATGTTTATAGCATTGTTAATATTCTTTAAAAAAATTGATTTTTACCATTCAAAATTAAATAACATAAAAAGACCTTTCTTATCGGAGAGTTAACATGAGAATGAGAATGTAATTTATATTATTTGCTTATAACACTTTTGATTTATCAAACCAAATGTTTTTATTAGAAGGCAAATCTTCTATGAAGTAGGTGGTGGGATCTGTGATCTGGATTTTTATAACTTTGAATATTTCAGTCGACCAATTTGGCGTTAAGCCTTTTTCTAAAGTTTCTTTATACTTACTAATACGTTCACAATCTCCAGCTTTAAGTTTAGATTTTTTTGTACTATCTTTTTATCAAACACGTTTTATATTTTTGCAATAAATAAATAAATAAATAAATTCTCTTTATTTCAGACACATATCACCCATATAAATTACCAACAAAAAAAGACAATGCAGTACAGAATTACTAACAATTAAAAATAATTATATTATAATAATATCTAAGTCTAAATGGAGGGAACCATCACGTCAAGCAGCTATCTTAAGCCATTTTGGTAAAAGGCTGTGGCCGGCAGTCTTTCCGCAAACTCACTAATTATCCTGTTTCTACACTCACCAACCCTGGACATGAATGATGCAATTCTGAATCTTTGAATGGCATTAAACGTATTAATTCGTGCTTCGGCAAACATGCCTGAAGCACTGCAATAGCGTTTGAGACCCATAAACATTTTAAAGATGTTATTATATTGCACACGAATACCATTCAAAGATCGCACCGTATATTCAGTCCAGAGCTGGCAGGTGTAGAAAGACTGACGGTACGCTTGGAAGAGCATAATCTTAACCTCCTTGGAGGCTTTAACAAACCTCCTGGCAATAATATTGCCACAGACAGACAAAGCTCTTCTCTGTCGTTCTATATCGCAATCATCTTTTCTGTTCGTTGTCACTATGTGACCGAGGTATTTGAACGATTGAACTATTTTAACCGGTTGACCCGCCACGTGCACCTCAGGTACATTAGATGGGCCCTTGCCCGCCTTAAAACCATCTCCGTCTTTTTTGCATTATAAATTAAACTATGATCTTTAGCAAATTTTTCGCATATGGATATTAATTTCCGCATACCTTTGATTGTAGGGCTGAGCAGAACCATATCGTCAGCGTAACTTAGGTTGTTAACATAACGGTTGCCAAGCCTAAGTCCGACTGGGGTTCTGCTCAGCTCCACGATCAAGTCATTCACATAGATGTTAAAGAAGTCGGGTGAGGTAAGCCCCCCCTGCCTTACTCCACAAAACAGCGAGTATTCATCAGACAGAGAGTCACACCATTTTACATTATTGATCTGTCTCTTATACCAATAAGTGAGCAGGTCAACAACACCAGCAGGAACGTTATTAAATCTTAGCTTCTTCCATAGCAGATCATGATTCAAGGTGTCGAAAGCGCGACTCAAATCAAGAAAGCAGGCATATACACTAGTATCGCGATCAACATAGTAATTTACTACTTGTTTTAAGGCAAAAATAGCCATATCTGTAGATAGCTCTGGTCAAAAACCAAACTGACCATCGTCAATGGACATGTAGGGTGTAATTTTAGCTTGAATCAAACGCTCAAATACCTTGGCCACAACAGTGGCAAGAGATATAGGTCGGTAATTAGCCATGCTTGCGAGATCTCCAGTCTCGTAAATATGCAGAGAGGACTACACAATATACTACAAAAGATCTCTAAACTCAGTAGTCCATCCGCTCCCCTTTCATACTACACGTACTTTAGCTCAAAATTTCTTACTCAACAAGTAGTTCTATAGTTAGCCTTTTCACGTCAACATTAAAATTATTTTTAAAAAGGTTGGCTATCTTTGTATGATTCACCTCACCCTGGATACCAATAGGACGACCCGCTTTAGGATTTAATTTCTTCACCTCCTTCCAAAATTGTCCAAATTTTTTCGATTTATTATTTCGGGACTATATCTAACTTTATCTTTTCTTGATGGTTTTGAATGAATTTAAGTGCGGATTTAAATTCTTTACGAGCAGAAGACATTTCATTATAATAATAACCAGAAGATGGTTTGCCAACAGCAACCCAGACACTAAACTTTAATCTAGCCTTAACATGTAGACGCCTCACGTGATAGTTTCAACCAGTCAATTCTCTGCACTAGTCTGTAATATCTTAATAAAATTATTATAAAATTCATTTATTGAAGTACAATGGTCACTATTCTTACAAACTATATCACAGTTACACATAAAATTATTATTAAAAACATTAATTTGTCTTAAAAGATTATTTAAATTAAAATCGCATAAGGTACTATATTTCCGAATTTCCGCCGAGTCTCTATTGACCCATACTATCTTTGGCTTGTTACTAGTTAAATTAGTCACTTCTATAGGTATAATTGTACTAATAGTCCACTGAACAAGTAACGGAAAGTGATCCGACGAGTAGTCGTCATATAATACACACACACACTACTCACTGCGCTAGCAGCGGCCGCAGTCACGATGCAGTGGTCGAGCCATCGACATGTGCCGTGCGCATCACTTACAAACGTACTCGTGTCGGATTCCTTACCTAGCACATCGATGTCAACACAACTTAATGACTGCTCATGACAGTAATTTAATAGTTCGTTTGCGAAAAGTGAATCCGGGTGGGCATTGAAGTCACCTAGAATAAAAACTGATTCTATATCCGCACTTTCTATCACTGCACTAATATTTCCTAAACAGGTTGTAAACTCCGCTAGGTTGTCGTCACTGTTCGTAGGCATATAAACACTTAGAACGAGCACATGTCTATTTCCTTGGCTTAGCTTCACAGCACACATCCTGTTATTATAGCAAGGTATGACCTCCGCACTCGGAAATATTCGCTTATTCCATAGAAGTGCTACACCACCATAGGGTCAATATCTGTTTCTTATTACTTGCATTTACTTGATTTGGTTTCAAACCGATTGTTATATGTACACTATCATTATACGTTTCCATTAATGTCGCATCTATGCCAAACATAGTTTCCTTTTAAAATAAAATGTCTATCCATAATATTTTTAAAGGTCCTAATAATTCTTTCCACTATAGAGGCTTTTTAGTAGTATATGTTGAGTAATTTTGATTTATTTTATAATTATTAAACAAATTCTTAAGTTTTTGTTGTAAAAATCAGTTCCTAAATCAGTTTGTAAATTTTGAGGGATGAGATTTTTACTGAATAAATCTCGGAAAGCTTCAAACATTTATTCCATATTCTTTTGTTTTAGAGGATATACCCAAGCATACTTTGAAAGTATCAATAACTGGCAATATGTATTTGTAATCAGAATTTTCTTTAGATACAGATTGCATGTCAATGAGATCAGCTTGCCATAGATCGTCAATGGTTTTCATCATAATATGTCTTCTCGGAAAGTTTTTCTTGCCTGTTTATGTATTTCTTCCACCACCATTTCTTTACTTATTTTTTCCTTATTTTCTGTGTCACTGACTCTATACTTTGTTTAATACTGTTTATTTCTGTTCCAATTTGTACCAGAGTTCGATTTATTGATTTTAGTTTATTTTCTAAGTTTTATATGTTCTTATTAACGTATCGCTTGTTCACACAATTTTCGTTGTTTTTGACGGTTTTATTTTTAGCGTTTAAATATCCATCAGTCATGTTAGTAATCGGAGATTCTGAGTAATTATCCATTTTTGTCGTTTAAATACATGATGTCTAAACTTTTATCGATGTTCATGGTTGACTTGCCAACCATCAACTATTTTTGATTAAGGATTTTACCTTCTATTTATTCTCTAATTATGCCTGGTTCTTTTCATTACTCTATTATTGAAATTATTTCATTATCATGGTTTGTATTTCCTGCACTTTTTAGTGTAACTAAATTTTTTACCTATCAATAAGTTCATTAGGATCAACCCAATTTGAAAATTGCCGCCCTGCTTTATTTGTCTTGTTTCAGTTTTAATAAATAAAGGCATAATAAGTTATTTAATAACTTAAATAAATAATGCAATCCTGAATTGCTTTGTACAGATCCTGATGCAATAAATCTCCCTCTGTGTGCATTAGTACTAAATAAAATATCTTTATACATTAGCTTATTTTGATTAGTGACCAAATCTATATTAGGTTTATTTTCAAACAATAGTTATGATAGTCCTGGAGTAATGACATAGCTTTTATTTTTAATATCATCTACTGAACTGTCTTTAGTTTTCTTTATTGCGATTGGAACGTTTCCCATCAGTAATCTGCGTTCCTCGTTTCTGGTACCATAAGTAACGTTTATGTCACTATCCCTTTCTTCATTGAAAATGCTTTCATTTAATTCTTCTTTAGTATCTGAATAATAATAGTAATCACTTGTACATGAACTAAAGTTATCATAATCATTTTCATATGAAGCTCCCATTTGATTATTTTCTTTCTCTTTATTTTTATTTATTGAAACTATCTCCTCTAATGGATGGGTTATTGGTTTCAGTATCTTACGTCGTTTACGTTCTAAATTATCTTCTTTCGGCCTCATTTGTTTTAATTTATTTTTGAAACAATTTACTAGTTTTATATTTTTTTATATCTACATCTATTTTAAAAGTATGAGATTATTGTACACTCCTGATAGTTTTTATATTTTGTGCTAAAGTGAACATATTTTTCTTCTAACAGTAATATTTAATCATTTTATTATAATTTAATAAATACATCAAATGACTTTCTGTACCTTCCCTTATCTAGTTCGCAATCTTTATTAATAATTAAACATGCATATTTTTCTTTCCATATACCAATAGCCAACGATTTGAAGTTATGCCAACTCAAATCACAATTGACATGCCCATAATTAAATTTATGTCATTCTGTTTGAAAATAACCAATAAATTGACATTACCCCGAATTAAATGCTTAGGTATTTTTGAATAGATCTGTGATAAAAACAATAAACTTTTTTATGTCGACCCATAGAAAAATGATTACGTATGCCACTTTGGTCTTCAGAAACTACATCAACAATGAATACTGATTTCTCCAAAACATTGTGTGGCGAAAGGCGAAATAGCTTCTTTTTCATCTAGGAAGAGGAACAATTTAATATCAGGAATTTTTCTTAACCCTTTTCCTAAATTAGGTATTTGGACTGGAAAGCCGTTTTCGAATAAAGAAAAATGTTACAAAATTTCTATCCATTTTGATTCAATAACAAACTTATCAATATATTTGTTTTTCCACAGTTTGATGGACCACATATTATGCAGTGAATGGAGTTTGGTAAAAGAATGCTGTGTCTCACAGTGTTCACAGTAAAAAATTTTGTCAGCTTGAATTTCATATATTTTTAAACAAATGGGTTGCTTGACTAAGTTCATTTTCGCTTCTGGTGACATAATAGACTATTAACCATCTTTTAACACATTAAACATCCAGTATTTTATAAAGAGTAGTTGTACCTATACATTTCATTTATAAAATGTCTATGTCTTATTAAAATTGAAATGTGATGATAACAAATAAATTTCTGAGAAAACTTAAATAAAATTATTGATTGGGTTTTAAATTTCACTAAAAACTCACGTCAACTGATTTCCTTTTATATGAACTAAAACCGGAATGAGTCATCTAAACAAAAGAAATAATGGAGAAGTGTTTAGCTCAAACAATTTTTAGAAATAAGGTTATCCCTGTGACACGCGTCAAATCAAGCCCATATTTCTCATTGACTTATATATTATATTACTAGCGTAAGGACCGGGCCGACCGAACAACTAAAATGGACCAGTGCGCTGGCCCTAAAATTACAGTTTAGGGCCAACGTGTATCGGTGGTCAGAGGTGCGCGCGCAGGACAGATTTGCCTGTCATAAGTATGCCTAGTTGCGTGGTAAAAGGATGTAAAAATTAATAATAATAATAATAATAATTTTATTTTCTCTTAACACAGATATATAATTTCACATTATTTCTTAAATAATACGGTTGTAGATAATTTTGACATTTGTGAGAGACTGGTGTCCATACTATGGTAATCTCTGTGTTTTAGATCTCCAGGCCCTCACCCTAACGGATAGAACGTATTACATTTTCAAATAGGCTACAAGAGAAATACAAGAATATGTAAGAAATATTTCAACAAGGAAAGATTCTATATGTTTTTTTAAGTTGTTTCTATATGTGTAATAGGGGGTGTGTGTGTGTGTGTGTGTGTGTGTGTGTGTGTTTGTGTATGTGGGGGTGTATATATATATATATATATATATATATACAATGTGTGTGTATGTGTGTATGTGTGTGTGTGTGTGTGTGCACTCATTTATGTAGGGTTATGTGTTTTTAGGATAATACTCTCAGTAGATTTTCAGCAGCCATATAATCAATATTTAGCAACCACTTCTGTAATTTTTGTCATGTTTTGGTAGAGAGTAAATTTACAAAAGTTCATTTAATTTATTATAAAGGTAACCTCCTTATGCGAAAATTTTGTCTTTAGAAGCTTACTGGGATAAACTACATGTTTCCTTCTTTTATCATTATTACAGGAGGACAAATACTGTATAAGAGAATGTTGTAGCAGCGTTGTGTGCAATATAAATAATTTACGAACAGATAAGACATTACAATGTTGATAAAGGTCAGTTGTAGGATAGCGGAATGGAAGAGAATTGCTAACTTTTAATGGTACCCTCTGAGCCCTTTCTAATTGCGATATGGTCGTTTTAGGTGCCCCTCCCCAGATGGTAATGCAATATGTCAACAATGATTGGCACAGTGCAAAATATACCATTTTTCTTACATTAAAATCTGCAACACGACGTAGATTTTTAAAAATATAAATTAACTTACGAATCCTTGTACTTAAGAGGCCAATATGAAGGTGAAAGCTTAGGGTGTTATCTATCATTACGCCAAGATATTTAATGCAATTCGTTCTAGACAGGGTAGGACAGGAGCAAGGGCTTTCAATTTGGGAGCAGCAGTGAGCTGTAATGTGAAAGTATTCTAACTCAGATACATTGATGTTTTGGGTAGCAAATGCTATGTATTTTATTTTATCGACATTTAATGTAAGTTTAGATTGTTTTAGCCATTTAGTTATTAAATCGAACCCATTTAGTGCGAAGTTAAATACCTCAGACCATTTATCTGCCTGGAAAAGAAGAGCCGTGTCATCCGCAAAAGCAATGATCCTCCCATTGTGAATTTTTAGATTACATAGTGTATTAATATATGTAAGAAATAGCGTGGGACCAAGCACACTACCCTGTGGTACACCATATGACATGGGAAGGTCATCAATGTAGCAAACACTAATCCTTACCATCTGATATCGATCCGTTAAGTAGTCAGAGAAAAGTTTCAGCTATGTGTTTCTTATTCCAAGATCTTGTAGCGTATTCAAGAAGAGCGGGACGTAAACTGTGTCAAACGCTTTAGCTAGATCAAGGAATATAACAACTACTTTCTTTTTACGGTCAAGGTTTGTAACAACGAAATCTATTAGTTCATGAACTGCATCCTGAGTTGAACGTTTTGGTCGTAAACCATATTGATAATGAGATAACAGATCATGTTTCTCTAAGTAATTAGTCAAACGCTTGTTGATTACTTTTTTAAGAATTTTTGACATAGTGGGAAGAATGGAAAGGGTTTTATAGATATTGACACAGCCCACATCACCGTTCTTGTAAATAGGGTGAATTTCAGCTAGTTTGAAACACTTGGGGAATTTACCAGTTTTAAGGGAAAGGTTACATAAATATGTAATGGGAGGGAGGAGGCGAGTATTTTCACTAACGTGGTGTTTTTCTGCCAAAGATTTACCTATATTTCCAAAAAATGAATTAACATAATTAACTGAAGTTTTAGGGTCAGATTTGTTTAATAATATATCGGCATTATTATTTAATTTATTCGTATTTGTGACTGTTGTGTGTGTTGTGTTCCAAAGTTTTTATTGCTTGTTTTAACTACTGCTGTTAAGTCTGCTTTTTCATATTCTTTTTTCAGTTTTTTAAGTAGTTCATTACAATAATTACGGTAACGTTTGTAAGTAGTTATGATTACGTCATCATACGGATATTTTTTACATTTTTGGTGTAATTTGTCGCCATTTCTGAAGCATCTCAAAATACCTGGGGTAATCCAGGGCTTTTTAATAATTTTGCGATTAGAAACTTTAATTATTTTAGTATTCATGTTTAAAGCATTACTTAGGGATTCTAATAGGAATATAGCTGCTGAGTCAACATCTACCAAAGAATAAATACTTTTAAAGTATAAAGTGAGAAGGTAACTATCTAAATTATCGTAATTTACACGTTCTCTAATTTTTGGCGGCAAACTACGTGTATCTAGAGTAGCCTCTAATAGAAATATAATCATCAGTATCATGATCAGTAATGGAAGTCTCCGCAACGTAGCGGGTTGACCGAAGTTTTGTTTTCAATATGACGTGATCTAGACACGTATTGCCATGGGTAGGGAAGGTGTGGGCAGGTAACATACCTTTAGATGCCAGACTAAGTAATATGGAGAGTAGGAGTCCTTACTATGTATATCAATATCTATATAAATATCGCCAATTATAATTATGGTTTTATAATGTGAATACTGATCGAGCGTACTACTAAGAGATTCAATAAAATTTGTGGGATCCTTAAATAGCTGGTCTATAAATTACAATGAATATAGTATCCTTACATATTTTTAGAAGAATACAATTACAATCTGATATTGACAACTCCTGCCAGGTTACATTCAAAGATGTTTTGAAATAATTACGATACAAAGATTAAAAAGGGACATGAGATATCTTATCATCGGTACATAATCTTATATTAATTTGGTTACAATTAAATTATTGAATAAACACATTTTTAAAGTTTTATTTTACAGTTAGTCAGTTTAGATACGTTATCAAGATTAGGCCAGGGTTGGATTCAGACCCTTAAAAATATTGTACAAGGAAAATAAAATTATACTATTTGTTAAAAATTATATCACGTTTGAAGTTTCTTTTTTCCCATGCGCCGGGATTTTGGCGGCATCCGTCTACTTTACGCATAGATACTGAAACGTATGGATAAACTAGACTTTTTTAACGGTTTTACTTTTATTTGTGTTTTATTTTTGTATAAAGAACTTAGTATAAGCTAAATTTTGAATATTCGTACCTAATATATTTTATATTCAATAATGGTAAATCGAAAAGAGTACAAATAAAACTTTACCTATTTAATTGAAACTGAAAATCTGATTCATAAAATATTTTGAAATTTTGTTTTTAAACCGATTGCCCACATTATAGTCGTATCAAACATAAATGCATTGATCGAGCACTGATGATCAGAAAGGAAGCTAATGCTAATTTTGTGCAACATGATACATACATACAGAACTTCTCGATATCGTAGGGTTAATATCAAAAAGTAAAAGGACCCAAAAATAGTACAAGTCGGCTTAGTATTATTACGATACTACATATACACTATGAAATAATGGTACAAATACGATAATTATCCTACGAAATCCGACC